GGCGGCAACAATGGCGCTGCTGATGGCCGGTCAGCTGGCCGAAGCCCATATGCGCGCAGCTAAGCGGCAGTTGAACCGCGCCCAGCAGCGGCAAGAGACAATGAGAGGGGCACGGCCTCTGTCCGCCAACGAGAGGCCACATCTCCCCATATCTCCCGGTACCTCCCGGTACCTCCCGGTACCGCCGCCTCTCCCCATCCTCACCTGCCCATGCCTCCCCATACCTCCCCCGATCTCCCCCTCACCTTCCCCCAGACCTCCCCCTGTCCCCCGTTATCTCCACCCACCTCCCCCGATCTCCCCCTATCTCCCACCCCCACGAGGCGGCGTGGCAGACGCGGTACGCCGGGAAGAAGATGCCGTACGGAAAGTGAGAGAAGAGCCACTCGGGCGCGAGAAGCAGCGACGCGGCGGGCGCCTAAGCAGTAGAAGAACCAGACGATCACTTCCTTGAGACACGCACAGCTGCAGCAGCGACGCGGCGGGCGCAGAGGCGTTGCCGGGCACGCGGAGCGGGGCGGCGGAGACGGCGCCCCACGAGTCCATCTTGCACAGGTGGACGACCTTGTCGAGGCTATGGTCTGGCTTGAGCGAGACGAGCCTGCGAGATATGGGGAGATATGGGGAGATATGGGGAGATATGGTCTGGCTTGACCGAGACGAGCCTGCGAGATATGGGGAGATATGGGGAGATATGGTCTGGCGTGAGCGAGACGAGCCTGCGAGATATGGGGAGATATGGGGAGATGTGGTCTGGCTTGAGCGAGACGAGCCTGCGAGATATGGGGAGATATGGGGAGATGTGGTCTGGCGTGAGCGAGACGCGCCTGCGTGCGGAACACACCGACGTCCGGGGGCGGGAAGGCGGGACTGTGCAGACTACGGGGAGAGATGGGGAGAGATGGGGAGAGATGGGGAGAGACGGTGAGGTATGGGGAGAGATGGGGAGAGATTCCGCTTCTAAAGGGACGAGCCGCTGGCGCGCCGGCGCGACATCGCCCTGCTGCTGCTTGCGCGTCCATCGGCCGTCCTGCATGGGTTCGGGTACCGGGTTGGTAGGGTAGTATTGCCGCGCGGCTGCGCTTGCGCGTCGATATCGGCCGTCCTGCATCCGCTTGGCCGCCTCCTGCGACCCCTTGTCTTTCTTGAAGCGGGCCTCGTAGAACTCGACGCCGGCCGCAAACGTGGGGGCGCCGTTGAGAGACGACGCGATGATGTCGTTCAGGTTGGCCTACCTCGCCGGCGTAGGAATGGGACGAGTGGTGAGAATGAGAGTGCGAAGAGAGGGAGAAGAATGGGGTGAGAGTCTTCAAGCACGACTCATACACTCATCACAACAAGAGTGACTCAGGCTGGCCTGCTCGTCGGCATTCGCAAAATGCGGCGGCGTCGACCAGCCCGAGGAGGGGAGCTCCTTGACGGACTCTGGCCGATAGGTGAACCGGTCGATGCGCCGGTTGAGCTCCTCGAGCACCCACGCCTAGGGTTCGGGTGCCGTGGGGGTAGGGGATGGGTTCGGGCACCGTGGGGGTAGGGGAGGCGAGCTCGATCGCCGCGCTGTCGCCGGGCGCCACATTCTGCACGTACAGAATGCCTAACGCGTGTTGAACGCTCCGAGTCGGCTAGGCGTTCGTACTTAGCCCCCCTCTGCGCCCACAGGAGGCCGGCGTTGGCGAAGGGGTTGTCGGCCTGAACGACGATGGCGTGGTCGCGGTAGACCGTCTTGAGGACGGGGTAAGGGTTGGCGAACCTGTGGACAAGACTTCATCACTGGAGCACGAACCGCGGTAGACCGTCTTGAGGACGGGGTAAGGGTTGGGGGCGGGGCGGGCCGTGCCGACGGGGCGGTAGCGAGAGGGCGGCCGGCCGGCGGTGCGTGGCCGGCGGGCGAGGTTGGGGAGCTGAGGTGAGGGAGCGGAGGTGAGAGAGCCTGCGGGAGGAGGAGTGTCTAGGAAGTGTCTAGGAAGCGTCGAACCAGATCGTGTCCGCGTCGAGATGGAGGACGTTGAGGCGGTGCTTCACCACGAGCCGCTCGAGCAGCACCTTGCGAGCCTCGAAGAAGGCGAGCGCAACCTTGTTGAACATTGTGTTGTAGAGCGACGCCGGCCTGTTCACACCACCGCCGTGAAGAGACGCCGTCCACAGCTCCTTTACCGCCTGCACGAGGCGCGACACCTGTTCACACCACCGCCGTGAAGAGACGCCGTCCACAGCTCCTTTACCGCCTGCACGAGGCGCGACACCTGGGCGCCTCGAGCCGGCGCGGCCACCACACGCAGGCCAGCGAGGGGAGGGCGTCCCAGAGGGAGGTGCAGACGTCGCGTTCGAGGGCGAGGACGAGCATGTGGTAGAGGCCCATCGCACGGAAGTTGAGCACAAGGTTGAGCCCCGTCCGCATCGCGCCCGACCCGCCCACGCACAGCAGCATCACCTCGCCGTCGGCGGCAGACGCCGCGACGGCGCGAGCCAGTGTGTCGGGCTCCTCGAGGTCGCCGCCGACGCGGTCGCCCGGCACAGAGGGCACGTACACGCGGAAGGCGGCCGCGTGCCGCGGCCCGGCCGCCTTTGCCCGCTCGCGATTGAGCACTGCGAGCGCGGAGTCGCTGAGGTGGTCGCGGTACGAGGCGGAGAGCCCGGCGGCGCCAATCGGCGGCGGAGACCCGACCGGCAAGGCGGTCGCTGCTGACTGCATGCTGGATGGCCGTGCCTTGGCTGTCGCGCCGAGGGCTGCGGGAGCACGCTGCACCTGCGGCGCCGGCGCCGGCTGGAGCTGATAGGCGAGGAGCAGCAGCCCCGTGGCGGCGGTGCCGAGGCAAACCAGCGGCGAGAAGCCGCTGTTCGACATCGTCTGGCCTGCGTCTGCCGAATCGACGGTTATCTGGCCGCGCCGGGGAGGCAGCGGCCAGCCGCAGCCTGGGCCCAGAAGTTGTGGCTGCACGAGTTCCGCCCTTGTCCACTCGCCAGCGAGCCGTCGACGTACCTGCGCCCAGAGGATCGCGCTAAAGCCCACCCGACGCCGCAGCATGGAGGACATGGACCCGCCCGACCCGTCTGTCCAAGTGGTACGAAGTTTGCTCGCTTGCGCGGGCTGCTTTGTGCCAAGCAGCGCTTTTGCCACCAGCACCGCTGACTGGCAGCCCGAGCCCCAGCCTGCGGGCCAGGGCTCGGCTGGCGCGACTGCGCCACCCGGTCCACGCTCCGGCGCCACTGCGCCGGCCACGGTCGCCGGCACGGCCGACGACGGACCAACTGCTCTTTCCATTGTGCCAAACAGCGACGCTGCTTTCCATGATGGAACAGGCAGATCTGCCGCTGCGCCGCGCGCCCGAGGCGCGCGGCGGAGCATGCACCCTCGCAACCCACCTGGCTGCTTGGGTGTGACACCTCCCTCCAGGCCCGCCCGCCACGGCCCGCCCGCCATGGCCCCGTCCGGAGTGCCCTTTCCGAGAAAGTTCCTCACGGTGCTGCTCCTGCTGCACCCGCTCGCCTCCGCCGCCCTCCCAACTGCGCCGCCGCCAGCCCACCCTTTCCTCCCCCCTCCCTCCAACGACTTGGCACCGCCTGCTGGCGCCTGCCTCCAGCAGCTCTCGGCTGCGAGCGGCGTGGCCACCGCCTCTGCTGCTCTCAAGCTCGCCTCTTGCAGGCCTCCAGGCAGGCCTCCCGGGGCGGCTCTCCCTGGCGCCCCTGCCACGACCGCCAACCCAGAGGATCAGTCCTCATCGCGCTTCTGCCCCTCTTGCCTACATGCACGCATCGACGTCGACCTTACCACCCCCGCCGACAGCGCTGTGCGAGACATCGCCAGTACGCTCACCAAAAGCAGCCGGAGGCCGCTGCATCGTCCGACTCTCACCAGGCCCCAGCCTGCCCTCGCTGCTGCGAGCGGCACCATGCGCCGCGCCCCCGCCGACCCCCGAGGTCACGACGGCGGCGAGCCCGGCGACGGCCCGGTTGACGCCGATGCGGAGCGGCGCGAGGGCCAGCTCTCTACACTTGCGCCGAGTTCGTCGAGTTTTACGGCGAGGGCAAGCCGAGCGAGAAGGCGTGGGCGAAGGCAAAGCCGCAGTGAGCTGTCGGGGAGGCTCCCCGGACCCCTCCTGTTCCTCGGCCGTTGGGACGTCCTTCTGGGTGTGTGCTACGTGATACGGCTACGGGGCTTATACGGTACACGGGCGCGCGAGCATCTCTGTTCTTGCAGGCCCTGTGAGAGCCAAGATGTGTGTACGGCTCTACGACGTACAGAGGCTACTTTTCGTTTTCACCGTTTGGTTTGCTCACATCAAGCAAAAGGGCGCGACAGTGTGTACTCTCATTCCCAAGATCGAGGGCTCCTCCAAGTAGAGCGCTGCACATTTTACTTTCCTTCCCCGCTGTATACTGGACCGTAGCTTACTCCGACAGGGCGACCGCCCTCTCCAGGTAGGTTTGTCGCTCGCTGGCCGTCGGCAAGGCGTCCCACTCGAAGAATGGAACGCTGATCACCCGCCAGCCGGCCGCCGCGAGGAGGCGCCGCTTGAGCAGCGTCGGCCCGTTGGGTCTGCGCACGCCCCGGCCGTCGGGCAGGAGGAAGTGAAAGGGGCCGTCCACCTCGATCGCGATGCGTGTCGAGGGCGCCGCGGCCTGGCAGGCCGCGTCGAGGGGAAGGCCCAGGCGGCGCTGTACCGAGATCCGCATCGCCCAAGTCTCCATTCGCATGTCATCCCGCATTGGGATGGCGTTGAGGAAGGCGCCGGCGCCGTCTTGGCTCGCCGCCACGAAGCGGACCGCCTCCCGCCAGGCCGCGTGCTTCGCCCGCTCCCTGCCCTTGGCCTGCGCCTTGCCCTTCTTGCCGCGAGGAGCAGACCGCGATCCCGCGGAGCCCTCCGCGGCGAGCTCCTCTGCGAGGTCGCGCCAGTTCCTGTTGTGGACCACCGTCGTGAAGCGCCGCTGCGCCTGGTGTAGGAACTCGTGCTTGGACGTGAACTCGGCGAGGGGCAGCAGCTGCTCGGCCGGGACGAGAGAGTATGCGGCCGGAAACGCGAGAGCGCCTTCCTCTCAGCCGGCTCCGGCGGCCGCGGGAGGCGCGCAGCTTCTCGCCCTCATCGGGCTCGTCCCACGGCTCCACCTCGACGTCGGGGGGCCTGCCCGTCGTGCCGCCGACCAGGTCGAAGTACTGGCGCGCACTGGCACTAACACAGGCGGAGAAAGAATTTTACAACAAAGCTCCCTCGCACAACACTGGGCACGGAGAAAGAATTTTTGCGCCCCTGCCCCGCTCTCGACGGCTTGCGCGCGTGCGGGCTCGAGCGCGCGGGGTCCTGAGCTGCTTCCGCGGCGACCTGGCGCGGCGTCGATAGAGGCTGCTAGCTCCATGACGCTGCGCTGCGAAGGCCGCCGCAGTGTCCGCGTCTCCGCGCGCGGCAGCGTCACTCACTCACTCACTGGACACCGTGCCTCCAAACAATCAGTATCACTCATTTGGTATTGAAAATCTCTCTCTCTCTCTCTCTGCCTCCAGCTCGTGAGGAGGGCGGAAGTAGTGCTTGCATGCGCTTTAGGCAGAGCGCAAACGCGAGAGGCGCTCCGGCCACCCAGTGCGTCCGAATGCTGGCCAGCTCCACCCTAGGTAGGCTCCACCGCATCCGCAGGATGATACATGTAGAGACCAATGGGCGCACGCGCTGCGCACGCGCTCGGGCAGGCGCAGGCCGGCGGCACAGGTCGGCTCATGTCCTCCCATGGCGCGGCCGTCATCACCCCTTCAAGGTATGTCTGTGGGCCCGAGAGCGATATGCCATGTCCGCCTAAAAAACTCGACAGCTACTTTGAGTGTCGACTTTCTCGACGCACCGTGCTCGGCCCCGCTGAAAAGCTGGCTGGTGGTCGCGCGCGGCGCGTCAGCGCCACTCCGACTGGTCGGGCACCTCGGCTGGGTCCATCGGCAAGAGGCCCGCGCCGTCGGGCGGCCCCGGGAGCGCATGATGCCCCTCCGAGAGGCGCTGACGCCCCGCCGAGATCGCGCTGGTTTGGCACGAAAAACGAGAAGCGCGAAGGGGGGGGTCCGAATAAGATACATCATAGACCCCCCGTGCCTGCAATCTCTTAAATGACAATTTGAGCCCCCAAACCTCCTCATTTCTTAAAAGGTCTTAAAACAATCCGGCCCTCAGAACCCTAGGGGTACCCTAAGCGCTTTCCCGCCGCCCACCCGCACCTCTCTCGCACTTTCGGCGCCCAGGACTGTGACACGTGTAACGCTTCACGCGCGTCGCTGAGGCGTGCTGTGAAGGGCTCGCGTGATCGCGAGCATCGCACAACATCGCCATTTATCGCATTTTATCGCCAAATATCGCGCGGTATCGCGGTTGCGATATTGTGAAAAATTTTCGCTAGGGCAGGGCTAGTAGAGGCTATGTGGACTATAGTTGCAAAAAGTCTCGGGTCTCGCCTGCAAACCCCGCCAAAAACTGCGAGAGATGCTGTGTGTGTGTGTGTGTGTGTGTGTGTGTGTGTGTGTGTGTGTGTGCGCGCGCGCGTGTGTGTGTGTGTGTGTGTGTGTGTGTGTGTGTGTGTGTGTGTGTGGAAATGAATACGTCCGGAGGGCCTCGTGCGGCTCCGTCGGCACCGCAGCGGCAAACTGAGCGAGGCCGGCGCCGCTGAGGATGTACCCATCCGAGTCGCGCCGCTCGGTGCACTCCTGCTGCGACATGAACACGCCGGGGTCAGCGCGGGAGTGCGAGAGCGTGCAAGGTATTCCGAGCACCGCGTGGACACGAGGGGTACGAGTAGAGGGAGCTCCGGTGGAGTCCGGTCGAATACGGCCGACCACGTGTCCTCTTGAGCGCTACTTGCAATACAAGACTACGCATTCAGCTTCTGGGACACTCCTCCTCACTCGCCGCTGCGGCCGCCGCGCCGCCGGTTGACGCGCGGCGCGCGGCTCCAGTCGGCTGCTTGAAGCCCAGAAAGGTGAGGAGGGCCTGCGGCGGGTTGTCGGCAGGGAAGGCTGCGGCGGTCTGGCGCAGGTACTCCTGCAGCTTGTGCCGCCGCTCCCGCTTGGTCGCGTCGCTCGCGCCCTTGATGCCGTACGTCTTTGCCACCGGGAAGGGCACCTGCGCGGAGGACGGCGATGTCGTGCAAAGGTGGTGAGGCGGTGGTCTGTCGCGCTTGCGGCGCGGCGGTGTTGCGTGGCGAGGCGTTGCGGTGCAGTTGGGCGACGCGGTGAGGTGGCGGCTTGGCGGGAGAGGCACCGCGATGCCGAGCGCAGCGTGCAGCTTCTCAAACTCGGAGAAGCGGCGAAAGGCGACGGTCGGCGCAGCTCCCTCGGTGGCGGCGGCGGTGGCCACCTTGTAGCGCGTGTGCCCGCCCTCGTCGGAGAAGGAGGGGACTTCGATCAAAAGCTTGAGCATTCGCAACGCGTGCGGCGGCCGACACTAGGAAAAGAATTTAAACAAGAAAGAGCCAAACTGCAACAAGAAAAAGATCCTCGGGTAATGACGGCAAAAGTTCGTGATGCCACGGAGAGGACCCGAGAGTGTCCCCGGTGGACCCAATCCGAGGCGATTGCGAGGGCATTCCGGAGGTCATCATCGGCGCCATCGAGAGAGAGAGAGAATCCTTGATACGAAACCACGACGACACACACCAGTCGACTCGCATCGGTTGCCTCCATGAACGGCGGAGCTATTCTCGCGCCCACACCACACCTGGCTCCAACGTGGACACGCCCATAGCTGGGGACACTACTAGGTCACGCATGGCATCAGAAGTTTTATCTCTCACGAGTGGTCATGCAATGTTGGTCACCAATTTGACAAATTGGGTCCTCAATCGGTTTTAATTTGGTTTCATCATGGTTGACACTGGGTGGGTTCATTCTGAGTGTCAGGGGACCCCCAGATCGCGAGGAGATTTCCGCAAAACAATTTCTTCTTCGCGCTGTGAGAGAGGCTTGTATCTTAAGAATTCTTCTTCGCGCGATGTCCACCCCCGCCGCGCCGCCGCTCGCGCCGCCTCGCCACCGCCGCCGCCGCCGCGCCCTCGCCAGACGCGCCGCCGCCCGCCCGGCTCCTCGACCTCCCCAGGGAGCTCCTCGAGCGCGTCCTCTCTCGCTGCGACAGCCCCGTCGACATCGCTCGCGTCGCGGCCGTCTCGCTGCTCTTTCACGCCTCACTCGCGAAGCAAGGCATCCGCTTGTGGGCGCAAGAGCGCGGCTACGAGCTGCCGGCGCAGCCCGAAGACGAGAACTGCGCCGTGCGGTGGCTGTGCTATTCGGCGCTGCTGCGCGAGTCCAACCCGCCGGCGAGGGCGGCAGCAGGCATATCGCACAGCCTTTTCATCGACGGCGAGGGGCGGCTGTCGTCGTGCGGCTCTTCGCCGGACTACAATCCAATCCCCGGGCTGCTTGGCCACGGCGAGGGCGTGACGCAGCTCAACACGCCGACCCGCCTCCCGTCGACGCTGGGTGACGAGCGCGCCGTGAGCGTGTCAGCTGGAAATGGCCACAGCGTCGCCCTCACCGCCGGCGGTGCCGTCTGGAGCTGGGGCGATGGAGGCGTGGGCGCGCTGGGCCACGGCGACGAGCAGAACCAGCTGCTGCCGGCGAAGGTCGAGGCCTTTGCAGGCCAGCGCGTCGTCGCTGTGTCGGCTGGAGGCGTGCACAGCATCGCCCTCACCGTTGATGGCAGCGTCTGGAGCTGGGGCTGGGGATACTCTGGCAGGCTGGGCCACGGCGACCAGCAGGACCGGCCGCTGCCGAAGAAGGTCGAGGCCTTGGCTGGCCGGTGCGTCGTCGCTGTGTCGGCTGGAGGGTACCACAGCCTCGCCATCACCGCCGATGGCGCCGTCTGGAGCTGGGGCTGGGGATACTCTGGCCGGTTGGGCCACGGCGACCAGCAGGACCGGCCGCTGCCGAAGAAGGTCGAGGCCTTTGCTGGCCGGCGCGTCGTCGCTGTGACGGCTGGAGGGGCTCACAACCTCGCCATCACCACCGATGGCGCCGTCTGGAGCTGGGGCGGTGGGAGGGATGGCAAGCTGGGCCACGGCGACGAGCAGCGCCAGCTGCTGCCCAAGAAGGTCGAGGCCTTGGCGGGCCAGCGCGTCGTCGCTGTGTCGGCGGGAAGCGGCCACAGCTTCGCCCTCACTGCCGACGGCGCCGCCTGGAGCTGGGGTAGGGGCGAACGCGGCTGTCTAGGCCACGGAGAGGACCTGTCGAACCAGCTGCTGCCCAAGAAGATCGAGGCGTGGGCGCCGGGGCTGTGAGAAGGGCGTACCTACCTCGGCTGCCACCTCAGCTCCGGTCGCGGGTCTCTGATTGAACTTGTAGGCAAAAAATCTCTCAAAAAGAATTCTCTATGCGACGGTGTCATTCACGACTTTCGATGCCACCGTCGTTGCATACTTTATCCGGATATGCAACGGTGGCATAAAGTGAATCTGAATGATACACCGTCGCAAAACTGCATTCCTGGGTCGTGCGGAGATGCATCCGGTTTGGGTACCGGCGGATAGCAGGTGAACGCTAAGGTGGGTTTCGAACCAGTGACAACGCCCGTCTGGGTTTTTTGCGAGTCGAACTGCGGGATTCGAACTCTCGAGACCCAATGCAGTTGTGCGACGGTGGCATAAAGTGAATGATACAGCGTCGCACTCTAAAATTGAAACGAAGGCGCACCGACCTCCTCCCTTGTCTAGAGGGTACCCAGCCTCCGGGCCGGTGACGGTGTGCGGAGAGCGAACCTTAACGACCGCTGGCGGAGAGAAATGGAACGTCGGGTACATGTCAGGCATGCGGTGCTCCCCGGGAAGCGGGGGTGTCGCAGCTACCTGCAACTCCGGGAAGGTTGGCAACACCCTCTCGGAGGGCATCACCACCACCATCGTCGACCTGATTCCGCGTGAGGACTACGCAATCTCCTTCTGGCAGGCCCACGGCGGCTTCGCCGTTGGCGCCCCCGGTACGTACTCCAAGACCCCGATCGACGCAATGCAAGGGTGGAAGGTGGAGATCACGCCGTCGGGCGGGACTGCAGTGGCAGAGATTACCCCCGGGTCGCCGTACCTCGGCGAGGACAAGCTCCGGGAGGGACTGCAGTCGGCGTGGGAGCGGGTGTCCGTCCCGTTCACGGCGAAACTGCCCTGCCCTGCCCTGCCCTGCCCTGCCGTACACCCGTATGCGCCCTGCCCGCACACTCTGCCGCACAACTGCCCTGCCCGATCCCCTACCTGCCCCGGGTGTGAAACCCACACCGCCCTGCCCCGCCCAGCCCACACTGCCCAGCTGTGAATACCTGCCCGCTCGCGAGGTCTCGGAGAAACTTGGGGTACCCGGATCATCCGTGCCAGCGGCCAGCCGCGCCCCCGCCGCCGCCAGCCCCGCTGCGGCCGCCTCGGCGCAACCGCCCACCACACAGGGATTTTAAGGTAAGGTAAGGCAAGGTAAGGTAGATTTCTCCACACACACAAAGTGGTGGGGCAAGGGGGGGCGACCCTCGCATCTCCACGCCCGGACACGGGCAGGAGCCCCACGGTAAGGTAAGTGTGGAGTGTCTGTGTGGTGCTAGCCGTCGCCCACCCTTGGGCGTCTGCCTTTGTGTTTTTGTGGAAGTTTTCTCCTGTTTTCTCCGTTGTAAAGTCTTGCAACGGACTTTAAATTCTTTTTTCAACAATGAGACGAATGACGATCGATCCTCCTCATCGCGAATTGCGTCGGCCTCCCTACCTGTCGACCCGGTACCTGTGTGTGACTTTAAACCAAGTGTCAGCATGCTGGTGTTGCCTCAAGGGTAAAATTCCGTCACCGCGTCGAGAAGAGGCACCCGCCGATGGCGAAAAGGAGAGTAAGAGGGCAAGGGGAGGTGGCGTCGTCGAAAGGGCGGTAGATCCAGTCGATGCCATCTGAGGTCGGCTCACGCCGTGGCCAGGCGGCGCTCCATCTCGGTGATGAGGCCGAGAGGTACCTCGCCCGCCTCACCAAAGGCGAGGCACACCTAGGGAAGGGAAGGGAAGGGAAGGTGAGGTACACTTCTCCACACACAACGGCCAGCGGTGGGGCAAGGGGGGCGTCCCTCGCAACTCCTCACCCAGACACGGGCAGGAGCCCCACGTTGTGTGTGTGCGTGCGTGCGTGCGTGTGTGTGTGTGTGTGTGTGTGTGTGTGTGTGTGTGTGTGGAGAGAGCGAGAGAGAGAGAGAGAGAGAGAGAGAGAGAGAGAGAGAGAGAGAGAGAGAGAGAGAGAGAGAGAGAGGGAGAGCGAGAGGGAGAGCGAGAGAGAGAGAGAGAGAGAGAGAGAGAGCGAGAGCGAGAGTGAGAGAGAGAGAGAGAGAGAGAGAGAGAGAGAGAGAAAGAGCGAGAGCGAGAGCGAGAGAGAGAGAGAGAGAGAGAGAGAGAGAGAGACAGAGAGAGCCTTCCTTTATGCGGCACACCTCGACAAGCGGCGCCACCCGCGCCTCCGCCTCCGCCTCAAGGTACCGGTTCTGCACGAGCCTGCAGAAGGGATAGAGACGGGGAGAGAGATGGGGAGATGGGGGGGAGATCTAGGCGTGCGGCGGCGAGAGGCGGCGAGAGACGGGGAGAGAGATGGGGAGATGGGGGGGAGATCTAGGCGTGCGGCGGCGAGAGGCGGCGAGAGACGGGGAGAGAGATGGGGAGATGGGGGGGAGATCTAGGCGTGCGGCGGCGAGAGGCGGCGAGAGACGGGGAGAGAGATGGGGGAGAGATGGGGAGATCTCGGCGCGCGAGCCGCGGCGGCGGTCGCGCGACGTGCAGCAGCTTATCGTAGTAGTGGTCGACCTAAGCAAAAAAAGAAACACCTGCTTAGGTGTTTCTTTTTTGCTTAGCTTATCGTAGTAGTGGTCGACCATGGAGGCCGAGCCGCCGCCGCTGGCCTGGTAGGCGGGGGAGTGTGAGGGAAGGTGATGGCAGGTGAGGGAAAGTGAGAGAATGTGAGGGAGGTTGTGAGGAAGGTGAGGGAAGGACACACACACACGCACGCACGCACGCACGCACGCACGCACGCACGCACGCACGCACGCACGCACACACACACACACACACACACACACACGCACACACACACACACACGCGAGGTGTTGGTGGGGCAAGGGCCGGGCTAGTCCCTCGCGACTCCACGTCTACACGGCAAAGCCCCCGCGCGTTTGGGGGAGGGCTGGATCAAAGAGCCTGGTATTCCTCGAAACGCTCCTCTGTCGCGTGCCTCCACACCTAAATCAAGAAAGGACAGGCGGCCGAAGCTGACTACTAGGGAGATGCGAGGAGAGACTCCACGAGATCACGGGAGAGGAAGGGAGATGCGAGGGCGATAAAGATCACGGGAGATCACGGGAGATGCAGGGATCACGGGAGATGAAGGGAGACGCGAGGGAGATTCAGATCACGGGGGATATAAGGAGATGCGAGGGAGATTCAGATCACGGGAGATGAAGGGAGCTGAGGGAGATGCGAGGGAGATACTCCGCACCTCTTCCTGCGTCGCCGGCCGGGGCGTCTGGTCGACACTGAGCGGCGCGCCGACGTGCCGATTGTACTGGTAGCCTGCATCGTGCATGCCACGCGTCAGGGTGAGTCCATAGTGCGGATGAAGATCGGTCGGTGCCATCGGGTGTTCTCGTTGTCTGGTGGCGCGTGGGTGGCTTGTTCAGAGTGTCCGACGCTTCGACTGTGACACCCTCTCGCGCCGTGGGCGCGCTTCTTCTCCTCTCGGCTAGTCACTCGCGCGGGGTCACTCCCGGGAGAGGGTCCCATGCCACCAACAGAGTCTATAGTGTGCCTGTCCTCTCGACTGTTCGCGGCGGGCGAAAGGCCACGGGTGTGCGGTTGTGTGAGAGTGTCGTGCGATTTCGGAGAGTTGAAGGCCCCCGGAGGCTGCACAAGAGGGGGGGGGGGGGGCGGGGGGAGGGGGGGTGCGTGAGTGCGGTGTCGTGATGTCTGTTCCCAATACACGGGCTACGAATACCGTGAGTACTGGGAGTCCTCTCTAGCTGGAGTTGGAGTGCAAAGATGGTTGAGTGCGTGTCCTCTGAGCGCCAATTGGAGTGCAAGGATGCGTACGAAGTGCCGTTCAGCCTCTAGGACTGGTAGCATCGGACGACCCCGACCTCGCCGCTCGCCTGACAGTGTCCAATTTTGGGCGAATACATACATGCGAGAGCGGATGAGTGACCCATTTCGGATGACTAATCAGGGCCGACGTCGCCGCAGCGCCTCCTAGTGCCTCGGACGTGGCTCAGCGAACTCTCTTGCATCTCTCGGCCATCTCCCGGCCATCTCTCGGCCATCTCTCGGTCATCTCTCGGTCATCTGTCGGCTATCTCTCGGCTATCTCTCGGCCATATCTCCCGGCGTTTCCGGCCATGTGTCACGGCCATATCTCCCGGCCATCTCTCCCGGCGGATCGCTCGCCTCCAGTCGATCGGCCCACCTCGGCCAGAGCAGCTCGGGCGACGTGCGCGCCTGTTGACTCACACTCAACATTAATAGTGAATGCACGAGGAAGGACCTCGTCTGCCTCGGCCAGAACAGCTCGGCCGGCGTGCGCGCCTCCGGCGGCGCGGCGTTGCCGTTGGCCGAGCAGCTGACGAGCGAGATCATGCGCAGGGCGTCTTCGACCACCGCTGGCGCCGCGCCTGAGTGGCTCATCAGCAACGGCTCGAGTTGCAAGGCCTTACCCCCCCCCCCCCCCCTGCACAAGGCACTCCTCTCCGCTGTACACTGCAGCCGGCCCCGTGGACCCTCCACGGGCCAGTCTGCCGTGAGAGCGTCGGTGGGAAGAGAGCGCAAGGGGTTGTGCAAGGCAGACCTCAAGGTGAGGAGAGGAGGTCGCTGGGAGGTGGTCGGGGGGACCGACGGTTCTGGAGGGCTCCGTGTTTGATTCGCTGAGGCCGTGAGGCGGCGCCGATGGGGAGCTGTGCTATGCCGTGGATGGGCCGCGGGACGGGTGGACGGGTGGCGGACGGGTGGCGGACGCTTGGCGGACTGGTGGTGAACGGGTGGTGGTTGTGGACGGGGGGTTGTGGACGGGAGGTTGTGGTGGGTGCGGCGGCGCCGAGGGAGAGCTGTGGATGCCGTGGGTGGCCGTGGACGAGTGGTGAACGGGTGGTGAGCCGGTTGTGGACGGGTGGTGGACGGGCGGTGGTGGGTGAGGCGTCAGCGCTCTTGGGCGTGTGGCCGGCCGTCAGTGCACTGGACGCGTCTCGGATGTGCTCGCGCCGGCGTCGCTCATGATCTGCCTCGCGTTGGCGTAGGTCCGGCACGTCTTTGGGAAGTACTTCTTGTCGTCTGCGTCGTGCAGCAGAGCCGCTAGGCGGACCGCCAGCGCTCGAGCCTCCGAAAGCGGCAGAGCCGCCGCTGCCACCGCAGCTTCAGCGTGATGAAGGACCGCGGCAGCGTGGCCGGCGCCGTGCGAGTCGTCGATGCCCGTCTCGAGGCAAAGCTGGATGAGCCCGCCGATGGCGCGCGCCACGGTCGCGTCCGCCTCGGCGACAGGCATAGTGGCGCCACTTCCCGAGCGTCGGCTTGCGCCGGAGCGCCGCAGCCAAGAGCCTCCCGCCCCCCCCCTGCCGCGCGGCCGCCCTTCCCGACAATACCCCCTTCCCCGCCCTAAACCCCGACAGCGAAGCCCGCGCCGCGCGCGGCACCACCACCGACTCTACCTCCGACCCCAGGGCCTAGGCGGCCCGCCATGAAATCTAGCCGTGTGTGCTGGCGTCCGGGTCCCAGCCGGTCTCAGACCTAGACCCTATATTCCAGGATGGCATTCTTCGAAATAGGATGGGCGCCGCAGCGGCCCGTAGCGGCGCCCCCTGCGTGCCCCCGGCCACCCCGGGGCTATGGGACACCCCCCCGGCCATCGGGGATGCTTGGTTCATCCATTACCCCATTTAGGGGCGGCGACGGCGGTGGTGCGGACGGGGGCGGGCTCGGTGGCGGCGGTGAGGGCGGCGGTGCG